AGGAATAGTGATCACATATTAAGAAAGTTTAAGAAGTAATAAATTATATTTACTATAGACTTTGATATTTTTTTTCCTTCAAAGGCACTAGATAAGTCCTCTCACCTATTGATAGTGTCACATATCAGGGTGTAAAGACCACCTTGATATTTGATTATTATTGAGGCTTTTGTAACTTCTTTCAAAGAAGAAAAAATAAATACTATTTAAGGTGGTTTCTACCTCTAATAATATCTTCAAAAATTTGGAGTCTCTTCTAGTATCATAATACCAAATATATTATATTTCACCATTTGAAGTCTATAACTAACTTATTATATGATTTATAAAACAACATAACAAAGTATTAAGCAATAAGATAGATTTAAAGAGGGTCTAAATTGAAAATATTTTTAAATAAGCTACATCCTTATAGTTAAGTCTATAATTATTTCAAGCTATTGAAACCATATTATTTATATTTTTTAAGTCTAATATTATGTTTATAAAATATTATGTAGATATTTTTATGGACTCATGAATTAAAAATTCATTTCTATATTTTGTGGTTGTATACAACATATATATCAAAGACATGGTTAAGACTCTACATAAGCTTCAAATTCACATTTGAAACTATCATTTTTTTGTAAACATTATACTTATATTAGCAAGAAAAATAAATAATTTAAAAATATCTTCTAAATAAATTCAAGGAACTCTTAAGATTAAAAAAAATAAAAAACAAAAAATAAAATATATTCATTTGGAATAATTAGCTTTTTTAATAAGTAGATACAATTTGTTTTAGAAATTTAATTTTTTTCAATCAAAGCCTTCAATTCTAACTTATCATATCAAATTTTAGCAAACTTTATGATATCAATTTGACATGGTTCTAAAAAGTCTTCTCTAAAAGCATTTCTCTAAGCTTCTAAACTAGCTTTTTAAAATGTATCTCAATAAGCTATTTTGTATATTTTTTTGGTACGAGCATTAATAGGCTTAAAAATTGGCTTTTTAATAATTTTATTTATAGATCTTTTAATAGAATTTTTTAATTGAAATATATTTTGAATAAGTTCAAGCTTAACAACAAACTCAAAATCTTTGTGGAAATTATTTTTTTATTAATCATAATCAACTATTATTCATGCTAAGTAAAGTGTTGAAAACATCTTTAGAGTATTTTCTTTAGACTTTTTCAAGACTACCTTTAATACATTCTTTGTTCCATTAAAATTCTAATTTATTTAATTAGATTTAATTTTTCATATAATTTGATTCTATTTAATAGTAAAATATTTAACATCTCATATATATATATATATATATATATATATATATATATATATATATATTGTTTGAAAAAAATAAATTTTGTATAAAATTTTGTTTGACAATAATGCAAATTAATGTGTTTTCAATACCAACAACCATTTATAGAATTTTTTATTTGAAGTAAATTTTACAATTAGTAGATATTTATTATATTAAAAATTATTTTGGTCACTTTTCACAAAATATTAAATATTAAAAATATAAATAATAGATGTAAAATTTAAGAATGTATTAATTGTTGGAATGTCTTTTGCAATAAATAAATAGATCAATATTCCATTTCATTATTTGCAATAATCTTTCAATGGCTTGTTAAATAAAAAATTAGCTTTATTTTTATAAAATATCATAATTATATTGCATTTTTATTTATTAAATTCTATCAAGGTTTTATTAATATTTTTCGATCTAATCAATTATTTTAATTTGACATATGTTTGGAATAGTGGTAATTAAAAAAATAGTTTTATGAATTTTTATTTATTTGAGATATTAAAATACGATATTTATAATTTTTCAACTTACTTCATGTTCTCAATGCATCTCTACAATAATATGAAAAGATATTTTTAGTAATATATAAAAATAACTAAATAATATGTCAAAAAATTAAATATGTTGAAAAAATTTATATAATCTTTTCAAGTACAATTATGATCTTATTATAACTAATAAGCTTATTTGAAATATTAATGTTGTCAATGATAATGATAATCTTGTAGATAGGATTCTTTATTATTATACTAAATTTCATACAAGTATTCTTTTGCTCACTATTAAGGTCTCTTTTGATAGATGCATTTTTTTCTATAATTCTTATATGCGGCCATAATTATCTGAAGAGTCTTCAATTATTTTAAGAATCAAAAAATGCTTCTTTAAAAAAGGGATTTTTCTCCATATATTTAAAATATAAGACTTGAAATTGTGTAAGATCCAAATATTAAATTTAGTGGTGATTCTCTTCAATCTTGAATATCTCTTTGCTTTCCATATATCTCAATAAAATGTTTATTTTTTCTTCTCTACTAAAAAAATAAGAACATCTTTGTATTAACAAATATAAACCTTTGGTATCTATAACACAATATTTATATCAAAAAACATATTTTATAAGTACAATCATTCTTTTTTAATGTCAACCAATAAAAACTTCTAACATATACTTGCAAAGACAATAGAATTGGCCTTTTGTATATAATTTGTAACAAAAATAAACATATATATATATATATATATATATATATATATATTTCCCCTTAATCCTAAACTTCTTACAATTGTTAAAATTTAGTTTATTTATAAGGCCTAATAGCACACTTTGACAACAATGTATTTGAAAAGAGGTTGCATAAGAGAAAATTAGTAGTAGTTGTTGGTAGTTGTGTGCAATAGTAGTTATATCTTTTATCATTGTTTATCATAAAGAATTTTTGATGCACTAACTTCAATAACAATAATGATCATTAACAACTCTTTGTAATTTGGTTGTAAATCTAGACATTTTAATTTATAATTCTGATCAAAAAAATAAACACAAGAAACTGACAAAAATACAAGCACTTGTTTTATTGGTGGAATATACCATTTTCTACAATTTAGCTTGAAATAAAAGATAAGAATATTTATTTTGATAGAGACTATTCCTCCTTCCTCTTCTACTTCACTTTCTTCTCTTTTGTCTTTAGTTCGCCCTTTGACTTCTCTTCCTAATTTGGCCTTAGAGTTCTCACATCCTCTTCTCCTAAAATTACGGGTACTAACAAATTGTGTAAATAAGCATCCAAAACAAATCCTACAGTTTCCCAAAATGCTAATTGGATAAGAATTCCTAATTATCTTCCCAGGTTCTGGTTTGGGAGTGGATTAGCTCTACTAAAAAAAGCTAGCAGCAAGATGAGTGGGTTTAGGCTACTTATAGGCCCGACTAAAAGTAAGTCGAATTACTTCTAATGCACAAGTTGCAATTGTAGTCGTGCATTTAACACACACCACACAAGATATACAAAAAAAATTCTTCCAAAAAGAGTTTATGATTGTTTTTAATTTAATATAATTTTTCATTTTCTAGAGAACATCGAAGTCCAAAGTACGAAATTAGAACACCGCCGTGTAGAAGTGTAACAAATGACTTTAAGAGGGCTGTCAAAGTTTATAAACATAGCATATATTATGACTTGATGAAGAAACAAACAAAGGAGGAATCAGCATTATAGCAGAAGAGCAGGAGCCCCAGCCAATCGAACCATTGTCATAACTCTGTCTAGCTTTAGACTGACAGGTGGGCCACGTCCAAAACTTGTGCCACTCCAAAACAATTTGCAAGGGTGACGTCAGTATACTATTCGAATCTAAGCATAATAACCGTCTATGGCACTTAATGTGACACACTATGATTAGGCATGGACCCAGTGGTTAAAGGATCTTGCAATTGGCTCTTTACGTAGTTAACTGTTGCGTTACAATCCTGTTCAAGTTGAAACTAGTGCACACACGGTGATTCTCCTCACCGTGCGTCACAATCCTAGCAACGAAGCCTGCACACATCTGTTTCTTGTGGAACCTCTCCGTCAGCGTTCTTCGTCTAGCATTGAGTTTTTGGATCAAGAGCAAGCACTATTGCAACCCTTTACTCTGGAGGGCACATCATTGCATCGATGCAACAAAACTGTGCCAGTCATGCGATTGCACTAACCATAGCAGCTGCACAACTGTCTCCGTAGATTCTTAAGCAAGTACTTTGCAGTACTCTTTGGGGCATTGATAACTCCAAAATCATGCCCTTAGTTTGACCACACTTATCAAGTGCTACACGACGGCATACAACTCCTACTCTCAATAATCCAATTGTATGTACCAATATTGCAGATAATCCAGATATCAATTTTCAACCAGTGTCATATATACTGTCCGCAACGGCATTCTGGTACTGGAATACACAATTCGCACAGCCGAGATGTATAATTTTTCAGAGCGTCTTCACCACCTGTTCACGACCTTCAGCCGCTAAGAAAATATAAATACTTTTCTGTACTCTGCCTCACAGAAGTGCCGCATCCAAATTCTATTCTCCTCGGCAAGTGCCAACGCGGAAGGGAAAACTGCCGAGTATGCTCATAAAATCGCAAAAAACTAGGTTTTCAAAATTTAGAGAGCAATTTAAATCCGCCTGGAGATAAGATAAAAACTTGCCACACTACCCAACGATGTTAAATATATTTGAAAATGAAAATAAAGAGAAAACTGAAATATTATCGGATCAGAGTGCCCATATTTAAAATTGAAGTAATCCAAATGTTCGAATGGTTGTTTATTAGTCGATGAAAGAGAGACCCTTAAAAATATACACATATATATAGCACAGGACACACACCGACATTACGACCACGAACGACCACAAGAGAAACTTTGTGGACATCGACGAAAACTTAAACGGGCTAACAGCCACCACAGATCCGATTCAACCACAAACTGGCAGATAAACATGATTGGTAACTTAAAAAAAATCCAGAAATGATAAAGAGCACACCATTTCAAGGTTGTCCTGTACGATGAACTGCAACACAAGCAACAAATCTTAAAACAGAGCACTTTTATGAAGGCTACTCGAAACCGCGTATTCTTGGGAAAACAAAACCAGCATAAAACTAAGCCATCCACAAACCAACACGACACAGGGCTTCACATAACAAGGTTAATGTAATAACGAATGCGCTACACAGCCATCGATAAGAATCAGTTGTCTCTTCAACGTACGCTACACAATACATGAAGCAGAGCCTACGGTCGGAACTTCCAGCAGAAATTATGAAATTTTCTGAAGCACATCTACACCCACTGTATAAATGTGATGAAATGTACCGTGTTCACAAACGACGGAAAAAATCAGGCCTTGACTAATAATGATCAATCACAACCGCTCAAGGCTTGTTGGTCTTCTTGTTGGGCTCGAACACGTACTTAATCAACGACTCCTTGATCGGCAGCATTTCAGGAAACTCCTTCGACAGCTTCGATGCGTCCAGCTCGTTGTTGCTCCGCGCCGCAACTATCACCTTCGCCTGCTCCTCCAGCGTGAAGTTCTTGTACGTGAAGCTCGGGTCCACGTACTCCTTGTACATCTCCAAAATCTCGTTGTGGCTCACCACGCCCGGGTTCGTGAAGTTCCAGATCCCCGTCAGGTTCCTCTTCGCCATCTCGATCGAGATCGGCAGCAGCTCGTCCAGGATCGTCATCGAGTTCGGAATGTCCACCACCTTCTCGTACCGCGTGATCTTCGTGATGAAGTTCCGCGGGTTCGACAGGTCGCCCGTGATCGGCATCCTCACGCGCAATGTGCACACGTTGTCGAACTCCCTCAACAGCTCCTCGACCTGCCCACACCACCACACAAACACCGAACTGCGTCACCACATGCCTCCATAACATACGCCCCCCATCACCTTCCCACTCTCCGCTCCCACACCACGCTCTCTCCCATCACTCCCCAACAACTCCCCCAGTGCTCCGCCCATCCCAACACCCACTCTATGCCCACGACCACCGACTGGACCACGCTCTAACCTTCGCCCTATCTCCTACAACAATCACCGCTACTACTGCCATACAAGCATCCTTCAGCACCCACCCACCCCTACATACACACAAACACACACACACACGCATCTATCCGTCACGCCACAGCGTCCTCACCATAGCCTTCGTCTTCGAGTAGTACGACCCCCGGAAGTTGGCCGACTCCTCCTCCTTGAACCCGATCCCGCTCCCCAGCGGATGCGCATCGTCGTACTCGAAAATGCACCCCGTCGCATAGTTCACCAGCACCAGATCATTCTGCTTGCACACGTCCGCCAGAGTCAGAGTCCCCACCACATTCGCCCGAATCGTCTCAATCTTGTGGCTCTCGCACCAATCCACATTGGGCCGTCCCGTCACTCCCGCCGCATTGAACACGTGCGTCGGCTTCACTGTGCTGATGTCCTGCTCAATCGAGCTCCTGTTCTCTAACCTCCCCTTCCCATACTCGTACGCGATTCCTTGCTCCGTGCACAGCTTCCCCAGCAGGCCTCCGATCCATCCGGTCTTCCCGTAGATCAAAAACTTCAATCCCGCAGACTGCCCTCCATTCACAGTGGCCACCATCTTCCCAGTTTCGCTTGCAAGCTTACACGATGAATTTGCTAGTCGTACCTGCGACGATGAGCAAGATCATCGTTTTAAGACAATACGAAAGCAGGGCAAGTTGTAAAACAATGTGTAGCATCGACATTCCGTGCTTGGTCTCTCTCAGACCCTAAAGATGTGGGCGAACTGAGAAGCAACGAGTTCTCGAAGTGCACCCACACGACATTCCGCAATTAGATCGTTTCAATGCCATGCAGCTACCATCGACGTCATGGTGTTCAACCAGGCGTGAAATCACGTGAAGATAATGTAGACATCTGCATCAAACTTATAATTTACACCATGTTTGCCTGATTAACCGAGCCCATAGGTGCTACAAACAAGGACATTGCAAGAAAACCTCCAGCACAATAGGAGCGAATGAAACAGCTCGAAGTTGTAACCAGATCTGCTCTTTCGGATGGCTATGTCACCCATTTCACCCATTTCCCCTGCAACCTTATCCCAAAGAGTCGGAGGGATTGCGAGAAGCAAACTCCGAACCAAACACACAGCAGACGGGTACCACAAGAATGCAATTTTCACCTTCTCGATCTCAGCAGCTCCCTCGCCGCCTTCACCACCAGAGTGCTAAAAGAAAAATCGTAGCTGCAAGACAGGGATGATTGGGTCGAGGAGCTCTGCTGGTGGAACCGCGAGGTGGAGAATGAGTAGGATGGTAGCGATGGAGCTCGTGTGAACTACAAAAGGCTCCGAGGACAAGCTCATTTTATCGTTGCTAAAGCCCATTGTCCGATGGTAGGTGCCACTTACCCCCGGATGCAAGCGCCTTGAATAATACGAAAATCATTGGGCAACCCTCAGTCGGTGAAAGGGCAGCACTGGTGCGACTCGCGAAGCTACAGTCGCTGTGTGCAAGGTGTGAGCGACGCGGTGGTGGTTCCCAGTAGGTGAGTCCGACGCTTCTGGTGGCTACTTCTACACTTGGCTGCGTTACATGGCGCTCTTTCATGCCGCATGCTGCTTCATTGTGTTGCATGCTTTTGGGAGTTCTGTTTTTCGCTGAGGATCATCGTGGGTGTTGGTGTTGGTATTGTGTTGTGGTGTGTTCTGGATTAGGACATGTTATGTGTAAAAGTGTCCTCAGTAACTCCATTTCTGTCGCATCATCTATTTGCTTTACCATTACAGTGATACAAGTTACTTTGTGAAACCTACAATCATATCATATGTTACTTGTTCGACATTCTCAATTTCGAATTTTGACTTGGAGTCATTTATGGGTACAGCCGGAGAAGTAGTGGAAGCGGGATTATCTAAAAATCGCTTTGTTTCGCCCACATGCCCCACACAATCCGGTAGGATTTGTATAATCCACGTATTTAGAGACCTCCTATTTTTATTGGGGATACATTCCCGTACAGAAAAAATTTATTTGAAACATACACACATACACACTTACACACACACACCAACCAGAAAGCAGTGTCCCTACCCTAAATTCCCAAAACAAAGCATACACTACGTATTTATATTCGAAATTTTTTACCACAATGGAATGTCAGACAAGTCATCCTGGAAGGCTGGAACGGAGATTGAGTTGAGGCTTATCTGTTAAAATGGGTAGTTGTGGAGATAGAGAGAAAGATAGATAGATAGATAGATTTGGATAGCTCTGAATGAATAAATGAATATGCTGACAATACACCACCACGTGCTGGCTCTTGCTACTAATTGACCCCAATGTTGTCAGTCCATGATGGAGAGAGAGAGAGAGAGAGAGACGGTGAAAAGAAGAACATAAATAAATAAATAAATAAATAACAGAGAAATTAGAATCGGAAGACTTCATTCATTGCGGTCTCGAGCCTCAAATAAATTGAACTGAGCTGGAGCATCACATGAGATAAACCTTTTATTTCTACTTTTCAATCCCTTTTTTTTGGGGGGGGGGGATATCAATGACTTTTGGAAGACTAGGAACTATTAATTTCCTGGCCAATGGGTTTGGAATGATTTTTAAGTAAGATAAAGATAGAACAGAAGAAGACAATTATTAGGTAAGCCTTTGTTCACATTTCGGTAGTTTTCTTCTTTTACTTCTTATTCAAGTACCTTGGTTATTTTCATTCATTTCAAGGCATGAGCTAGTTTGCATTTGGGTCTGAAGATTTCAATGGGTTGTTTCGTATTTCATGAACTATTACAGTCTTCAAAACACACGGGGCATTCACACTTGAACTTGCAAAATGAATGGTTGTCCAATACTTGGAATGTTAGATTCAGATCCGTTGACCTTCGATGTGTACATAGAGAAATCAAAAATATCAAAAGTCGGAATGCTGTGAGACTGTTTCTGTGCTAATGGTTGCTAATTGATTTATATTACATATTGAGAAAATATTCAGAAAACAAGTTGCCTTAAAAACATTGCATCCATAGACATGTAACAAAATTATTCTTGATAATAGTTTGCATAAATTGTAGTGTAGGAGAGAATTAGCCCTTTCATAACCATTATTAAAGAACTTGTTGTTTAGTATCGTCTTTTCCTCATCTATATAGCCCTATACTTGAAATTTCCTACGTTTTTCAAACAATTTTTATTACATATGGAGTTACCTTTTTTATGTCTAAATATTTAACGTACGTGTTATATGTTGGTGAAAACATGTGAGACATCATCAACTATTCTGTGCAGTTAACCTAGTAGTTGTCATGATTCATATTTACACCCATGACAGTAAATAGTTAGGCAAAATTATTTGTGGGTTTCATCATACAAAAGTGACTTAAGATTCTTCAGCATAAGTAACCAGATTGTATCAAGAGGGACCTGCCTCCACATGTCAAGCTCTAAAGATGGAGTATGAGGTACTCCTACATGCACACAATATAATACAACATTGAAAAGGTGTACGGAAGGTGGGGACCGAGCCATGTGCGTTGCCACTTGAGATGTGTTCGCTCAACAGGTTTACTGCAACCGTTCAACACCTAGGGAGCAGCAATGCTCGCCACTAGTTGCAATTTACTGAATCATGTATGTAAAAGAGTCAACTGTGGGCAACTGCACATGGCATTGTTAGCTCTGGAATGAACTGTGCAAATGGCTCACAAGTTCAATGTGAGCATCTGATTGCTCTGAGCTCCACTTACCCTCTGAATAAAGCCACTCAGAATCAACTTCACACCCAATCAGGAATTCTAAGCCTCTGGGACCGGTGGATAGCAAGTTTCAGAGCAGGTACTTTGTGTTGTACCTGTTTGAAGATCATATTAACTGCATCGTCCTTCTTGGGTGGATGCTGGTACTCGAAGTGGTGGGAGACGGTCTTCAACGCGTTCCACATTCGCAACCATCTCTCCCTCGTGATACTCCTCAATGTGCGCAGCAAGTGACCCGGTTTTACTGACTCTTCGGACGAGAAGAATATAGAAAAATCTTTGTAATTGAGATCGTCTTCAAACGGTAGCTCAATTCTATCACTAATTATGACAGGCACACAATGACTGACGATGGCGTCGAATAGCCGGCAACTTGACGGTGTATCTCCAGCTGGATGAAGGCAAAAGCGTGAAGTCCGCATACCTGCGGTCGACTGCAATGAAGACAACTTTGATGGTTAACAAACTTTGCTTGTTAATGAGAGACAGGAGAATGTGTGGTCAAATAAGTATTAAATTGTAAAATACTTCGACAAAGATTCGAATATACAGATTGGTCGTGAGGAACCTCAATTTATGTGAATGATGCCACTCAACCATGTACTGAAGGATGTGTACCAATTATATCAGACAACGTGAGGCAGAATACGGGGTGGAAATCAAATGCAGTATAAATGGCTCACAAGTTCAATGTGAGCATCTGATTGCTCTGAGCTCCACTTACTCTCTGAATAGAGCCACTTAGAATCAACTTCACAACCAATCAGGAATTCTAAGCCTCTGGGACCGAAGAAAAAATCTGAAGTGGAAATCAAATGCATATATATATATATATATATAAAGCATAACGTTGAAGGCATTGTTAGAGAAAGAGACAACCCGTACCGTTGCAATCGCTTCTGCAGAGGCCAAGCTATCAACATAGTGAACGTCGGAATTATTCGCCAGCAACTCTGCCAGCTTGGTCCTAACAATCCCATCCTGATACATGAACCACAAACAATTTTGCCACAAATATTAACAAACAGTCCACACCTAACAACACAAATTCAAATAAATAACAAAGAAACTCATGTAACATGCTTTCAAATCCATGAATGCATTCAAGCTTCAAACTAAAATCAGGAATTGAAGTAACACGTGATGAAACCACTTACACCTTTGCGGTGAATTCTTCCTTGAAAGAATAGGAGCGTCTTGCGCAATGAAAATGGGTCCGCGGGATTATCTTGGTCGTATGAAGGTAAAACATGTACATAAGGTGCTACAACGTCCTTGCTTAATCGAGCTACAGTTTTGTCGTACCTCCCAAAATCAGCAACTATGAAGATCGATTGGTTAAGCATGTCTCGATAATGCCTGCCAAAAGGTCAACAAACGCAAAATTCACATACTAATTGGTTCAAACTCGTCACGAAAGATGACTCAGAGAAAAAATGGTCTATAACCAAGGAAAACGTTCAAAATTTGAAGTTGAAAGATAAAATTGAAACCAAATTACATGACGTTGATTCATAATCATAGGTATTAGAGTACCTCAAAGCATTGGGATGATGAGCAACAAGGATATGGTCACGACCTTGTGATGCCTGCCACCATTTGGATTTAGATAATATATCCACTAAACCTGCCTGCACCAAATGGCATGAGGCATTAACATGCCTTCCGAACGTCAGCAATACTATCTGAACAACATAATTACTACGCTTTAAAATAAAATAAAATAAAACATTAAGTGTGCATAAAAGAACGGAAGTGTTCGAAGGAAAGAATAAAAGGCACGAAACAAGAGATCCAATGAGGTGAAGCGTTGCCAAGATTGATAGAAAAAAGCGACTGAGCTGTCTGACCAAGGATCTCATCTAGTGCACAAACACAACTAGACAAACCAATATCGGAATAAATCTCGTGGTAGCAAGCTGTGAGGTCTTACTTGAAGCCGTTTGTCGGCCGCTGCCCCTTCACTCATACCATGGCCATGGCTATTAAAAGATAGAGCTGAGAAAAACGGCACAAAGAACACGTCCGCTTGTTCTGGATCTATTACTCTAACAGCCGCCGTTTTCCCATCCTTGCGGTCCCAACCATCCAATAAGTAAACCATCAACCAGTATTCGACGCTGTGCTGTTTGTTGACCTCGAATTTCTGTTTCCATGGAGGTGCAACGTGGTTTGTCCAGGGAATCTCTTGATTCTTGTCCTTCTTGAGCATACCCATGTTGAATTTGCGTGGAAGTTCATACATGTATATTTTGAGAGGACAAGAGTAGCTACCCGTAGAATCATCCAATTTACTCCTAGGTGACCATCGGAACCAATTGAATGTCTTGTCATTCATGTGTCCATTCTGGATCATAGAATCTGGGGAGATGTAAGCTGGGAGGGCAAGTATAAATGCTATGAAGAGGCCGAACAAAACCCAACAAGCGGGCTTCCGGCTGGATTTAACCATCATCTTCTCTACCTGTAAACCCCTTGTGCTCCGTTACTTACAGCAGATACTTTGATCTAAATCCCTACTACATGGCATCTAATATCACGATCGACTGGTATCAGCTTAAAATCATTGTAAAAATCTTCTACAGCCAGTGAAACAACTAACCAGCCTATTACGAACTTTCGGCTACTCTGTACTTATAAAAACATTTTTGCTTCGTCTAGCATCCGCGCAAACCTGCAAAATTGTCACAGCAAAATTGAACACATCGAAATCAGATTGATGAATTATGGCATTCTAGGAAAGCTGCACAATGGAAATGAAACATCTCAATACACAGACAGTACGTGCTTGCAGGTAAAGTAGTTCCTCCGTCCTCCTGACAGTTACAGATCTCCAAATCGAGGTGATACCTGTTATACAATGAACTTGCAGGCGTGTCTTCAACAAAACCCTAAGTCAGAGTGTGCAATAGAGCGGCACGAAGATATCTAGACTAATAAACATCATCACCCATCCATCATCGCTACACTCATAGTCACGACCATGAAATTGGAAGCGCATTGAGAACATGTAGACTTGGTAGAAACAGGAACCGTCGATCGGCCGAGAGATCGCTTATACTGGCCATCAAATAGTGAATGCGAAACAGGCATTGGCAAAGTTGCAAATTAACACTCAACTGATAAACCAGGTCGTACTCGATGTTATAAGGAAACCCACCTCCCTACAATCCTGTACTCGCTGGTGCCAAACCCCAAAATCTTGAACCCTCAAGTGATTTCACTGAGAGAAGTCAAGGAAATAGCAGAAAGCTACTACATAAGGTAGCATAATCCCGGGTACTCATGGACCGCATTGCTCTCTCGAATTCCTACAACTCGAGACCATATCACTTGCTCCATGAGCTCGTAAAGAAAAAAAACCCACCAACACTCAAACGCAAGCTTCTTACCCAGATTGCAACGAGAAGACAAAACTCCCATCACTTGTAAGCCCACAGTGCTTCATTGTGCTTGGAAAACACCCCCAGTCGAGTCCCCTCACGCTTGCCAGTGCTCCATTCTCATTCAACCCTCAATCTAATCAACTCAACATTCGAAGCTAAGGCTACAAGACCCCAGCTCCGATCAGTGATGAAGTGAACTCCACAAATTCAGACAGACAAGCAAATTGTGCAGTCAGGGCTAACAACACTTCCTCGGCGTGGTTATGGAGCACACTACACAAAAGAGTGGCGGTTGAGAGGAGCGTTGGGCCATGGGTGAAATCAGTTTTTGTTAATAAGGATGAAAACACTAGGTATAACGTCGGAATACCTTAAACAGTCAACTTAAGGTTTTTCAGCTATGTCGGGGGGGGGGGGGGGGGGGGCATGAATCAATCAATCAAATTGGTGGAGACATATGGCTCCGATGTGCTCAAAAAGAAGAAAATAGAAGAAAGAAAATATATGTATATTTATATATGTATAATTAATGCAATGGTTTAATTGAAAAAAAATTAACATATTGGTTTTTGCATTTGATCCCTGAACAAACACATAGACTTGTCCATAAATTGTCCGTAAAAACACATTAAACCACCACCTCCATCACACTAAACCACCAACATCCTCCTTATAAAGTTTGCCAATCATTGGAGGGTTTAGAATGAACTTGGAATTTTTCTACTTGAAGAATGGTTGTTTTTGGGTTTGTGCAAGGTTTAGTTTGGGGGCATGACACAGTTTAAGGCATTTTGACATTAGAACACAAATACAGAAGGAATGAAATCAATGTTGATGTCAGGAATTGAAGTTGCAATTTATTATTGTGCCATTGTGCATGCACTTGCCATGAGAACCATAGTATATGTTTCACATGTTCTCTTCAAAAGTTTTGAACTACTTATGTATGTAAGAAAGCATTTTGTACCATGGTTGGAAAAAAATTCTGCAGACTTTAAAGAATATGAAAGATTTTATTTTCTTTGTTTTAATATGTGTTGCAAAATCTTAATATTTTGCTTATAGAATGAATATATAATATATTATATGTAATTATTATTTATTCAAGTGATAAATAGATATGAAATTTGGATGTTGTGGTGCTCATTAAACTACTACGTTAACAATGCCTACTATCACAATTAATTACATACAAGATCAACATGATATAATGTAAATAGCCACAGTTTGATTTAAATTGAGCTCAAAGAAAAAAATAAAAAAATAAAAAAAAATGAATGGGGACTAAAAAAAACTCTACATGTATTGTAGTGAGCCAAGTCATACAACTTTAAAAAATTCCAACAAGGAAAAAATTAAAGTATTAACATAGAATTATTTTCAAAATTTCCTACATAGTCAAGCATGTCAAATTTCAATAGAAAGGTGTGTTTGGGCACCATTAACATATCATCAGAGACATGATTCTCAGTAAGTTTTTAATCTTTCATCTTGTTCAGACATAGAAGAAATTGTATTAGATCACTACTAGACAATTAACTAATAGATTTGTAAGATTTCAATTTCAGATTCTAAAAGTACTCACTTCTGTGATTTCTAAATCAACACTTATTTTGAAATACAAGTTTTGAAAACACATAAAAAAATCTAACAAAAAAAACCAATAAAAAAGTCTAAAATTATAAAGAAACCTAAAACATGGTTTGATAAATATAAAAGGAACAATGATTTACAATTCGAATAATGAAATTATACTTTAAAAAGCATGATTAGTGCTTTTGTGAATTTAAATCCAAGTAAGTATAAGGTTATTTTTATGGTAAAATTACACACACAATCAAATAAATAACACTTGGAGATAATACTATGAATTTAACATAATGGCTATTTTTAAAATATAATTTGATAATGAAACATTCTCAATTTAATGGCATTGTGAATTCCCAATGCCATATAACACTAAAGAATTTGGGTACGAGTAGGGTTGGAGTTCAAGTCATGTGAAGCCACGCCATCAGTGCAATTGAAGGCCTGAGGGTCGGAGTCCTTAAACCCTAAACCCTAAGTCTTCGTCCCACCCTGTTGTCGTAGCATAATCCATTGTTGGTTTGTTCCGAAGCTCTTCGGGGGAGCCCGCACGACACAATTCCTTGTCGTCTTCTAGACCTCGCAGCGTGTGATTGTTTCTACGTGTGTGTGTGTGTGTGTGTGATCATGAGACCTCCATTGACGAGAGGGGGTGGGGCTTCCGAGGAGGGCCAGGAGGTAGCCGTGGAGCTCCCAGAGGTGGTCGCGGGGGTAGAGGAGGAGGTGAAGGAGGACGCGGCGGTGGTATGAAGGGCGGAGCGAAAGTAATCATCGAGTCACACAGGCACGAAGGTGTGTTTGTTGCCAAGGCCAAGGAAGACGCGCTCGTCACGAAGAATCTTGTGCCTGGGGAGAGCGTGTATGGAGAGAAGAGAATCTCTGTTGACAACGAGGATGCAACCAAGACGGAATACCGTGTGTGGAATCCCTTCAGGTCGAAGCTCGCGGCTGCTATCCTTGGTGGTGTGGACAACATCTGGATTAAGCCCGGTGCTCATGTGCTGTACCTAGGAGCTGCCTCGGGGACGACAGTTTCACATGTCTCTGATGTCGTAGGGCCGTCTGGTATTGTCTATGCTGTAGAGTTCTCTCATCGCAGTGGGCGAGATCTTGTGAACATGGCGAAGAAGCACACTAATGTCATTCCCATTATTGAGGATGCCAGGCATTCGATGAAGTACCGTATGCTGGTCGGTATGGTGGATGTCATCTTTGCGGATGTCGCTCAGCCGGACCAAGCCCGAATTGTGGCAATTAACGCGCACAACTTCTTAAAGAATGGCGGTCACTTCGTTATTTCCATCAAGGCTAATTGTATTGATTCAACAGTGCCTGCGGAGGCTGTATTTGCTTCTGAGGTGAAGAAGCTGCAGAAGGAGCAGTTCAAGCCCGCGGAGCAAGTCACTCTTGAACCATTCGAGCGAGACCATGCTTGTGTAGTTGGAACTTATCGTGCACCGAAGAAAGCAAAGGCTGCTGCTGGTTCATAGATTTTACTGCTAATTGAGGTTTAGACTAAGCATACTCCACAATTTAGAAATAGAACTAATTTTAAATTCATCTATTCTTCAGATCAAACCAAGCTTATTGCAGTTCCAGGCGCCTCTCTTCACGGCTGTAGAAGTGAGCTCACATGCCTAAATTTGACTCGTCCCCTGAAATTTAGCTTCGTGGAATCGCCCTCGGTTAAGTGATGAAAGAGCTGATGATTAGATGTATCGTATTGATCTGCTTGCTTGAGCAGCGTCAGTGATACAGTTTGCGACATGCAGTTACCAGCATTGCTTCTGTTGAATGTCACAAGTTGTGCATTTCTTCACTTAATGATCGAATTTCATGCTCATGGATTTGTTTTTAGTTTGAACTTGAAATCTTGATTGGCGGCAGCTTGTCTGTGATTTGGAATTACGTATTGTTGAGAGTGCATAAGGTAATTAAATTATACTTCAGGATACCACAATTTGGTGTGATTATACACAAAAATGTAAACATGTACAGAATGATAACATAATACTCCACAATAATAAACAACAACGCTGAATAGGAAGCGGTGATTAATTGTTAGATCAACATTGAAAATACCAACATTTAATTTCGTTCGTGCTATGATGACAACAAGAAGACAACATCATTGTTAGTACAGCAAAAGCAGATTTATAGTGTACCGATGTTGCTCGATATGTTACAACTATGGCACTTCACCTAATTTAAGTAAAAAAAACGAATACTGCCTGCAAATGGGATTTTACAACTGTAGTAAATGTGGCATTGGCGATAGTGGATTATGACTATGAATTACAATTACTACATGGAGATAAATCTTAACTACAACAGAAAGGTGAGGGATAGGGCTCTCTCAGACATGAGGGATACATCATTGAGCTTAGATGGGGACATGTGGTGAAATTAGGGTTTTGATGAAACCAGACAATCTTACGAGGGTGGGCAGAAGGACAATTCATGAAGAACTTGGGCGAACACTTGCACACCGAAAATCGTAGTTGAGACTAAGTTTAAATTTAGAGAAAAATCTGAACCATTGTTACATTCGCTGAGCTGAACCAAACATACAGCTAAGGTCACAGCCAGGCTATACAGGACCCAAGAAGTTCTTCACATAATCATCGCAGGAAACTGACAATATTGCTTCGGAGTGAGATGTGCAAGAAAAATGGTACACTCCGGTAAAAGATACCAAATAAACAGTTGGGTGAGATCACGCAAAAATGTCTAATCTACTTCCTCTTAACGGGGTCAAAGGTCGACACTCCAGCAACGGCTACACCAATTACGGTGACCACAACTCCTCCTGCGACCACGCTCAGGAGCAAGTTCTTCAAGGATGGGGACACACCGGGCTGAGCAGCTTCAGCTATCTCGGGCACCACAGCAGCTGCCAGGAAGGCAAGGCTGGTCAAGGCAGCTAGCTTGTTATCTGATTGCGGGGAGGCACTGCAAAATTTGCTACGGAAGACAACTCAGCAAAACCTCTTTAGCAGACGTTCCCCTTACCGGTCGAAACAGAAATTAGAGATTCAAGAATATACTGTAGGGACCGTAATATTCAATTACCATCCTAGAGAAACAACTATTTCAGCTGCAGCAGACGATAGCGAATTGCTGCACACGGGCGAATGCGATAGACGCAGGCATCAACAGCGACATACGTCACACACTAGAAGGGTAATCAAAAAACGTGAACTACAGAAAAATTTGCCGACAATTCATTGCCAATCCGCATGTGCGAGGCGGAGAGTTACCAGCGAGTGCAATGTGCCACAAAGGTAATGACAATCACATTACCTCATGACGACCCTGCTCCTGTTGGCGATCAGCTTGGAAGACCTGACGGACGGAGCGGCCAATGCGAGTCCCTGACGCGACAGGATCTTGGCTTCCCACACCAGAGTCGCAGGAGCGACGGCCGCGCTCAGGCTACTGGCAACAGCTGTGGACGCCATTGCTGGATCGGGAAGGGATACTTAGGCGAGTCGTCAAGACAGTAAGGGTTGTTAAAGTGGGAGAGGGCGGGGGGTACAAATGTGGAGGCGGAGCAGAGTGTGGCGATGGCGGAGCAAGCGAGCGAGGGGGATGCAAATAGAGGACATGTGAGGCTGCGAGGTGAGGCAAGCAGGGCAAGCAGGGCTAAGCAGGGGATAAGACGGGCCCCTGCTCCGCCAATGGCATCAAGTGGTCCGGCGTTGGCCGCGCCCGACCCTGCCTCCCGATAAGAACTTAGCCCCTAGATAAGGTCACCCGGCCCATTCTGCCCCGGAATGACCCTGCACTCTGTTCACACTTCGCCGCGGCTCTGACACCCTGGAGTCCTCGGGGGTCTTCCGGTGCCCAATGCTGGACAGGCTTGCCCTTAGATGTCATTTTGGTTCAAATTGGAGTTTGTTGGTTTTTGCTGAGTAGACTGTACATTACAGAAAAGTATGTGTATGTGTATACATACATAAATACATATACATGTATTTGCGTGGCTTCATTGAGGTTCAATGCATTAGGGATCCACCCACACAAAAATATTGAAGTATTGTATTTATATGGAAATTTCTGTATTTTGTCTATTTTTTTTAATGGATTATGTTCTATTTGAGTTGTTTATGAAATAATTATCGTCATCAATCCAGATTTTTTTTTTTATTATTTTAATGATTTTTTTTACTTGTTTAGAATAATCTTATATAGATTGAAATACATTAATTTAAGAATGCTTATGAAAAAAGTACTATTGCCAAATATATATATATATATATATATAATATATATTCATATATATTAAATAAATTATTGGTTATTTCTATTCATATATATATATTTTTCTAATTTTAATTTATTATTTTTTGAACATTATAAATTATCAATTGACTTTCAACAAGGTGAAAATAATTGCATTATCAATATATATGTTTGTGCCACTTAGATGAATTTACTTATTTGTATTACAATAACTTTTGGCAATCTATTATTTTTATTAAGAAAACATCTATTCTTTCAATTCATTTTAAAAAGTAATGCCAAAATATATCCTTTGATTATATTTTTTATTCCATTAAATAGATTTTTTTGGAAGAATTCATATATAAAAAGATGCTATAGAAAGTTTAAATATTGCAAAGAGTGCCTTAAGCATCTAATGCTGGAAAAAAGAATGTAAGCCATATGTCAAGGACATGAATCTCAAAGAAAAAAAAATCCTCAATACACTCTCATATCATTGAAGAGAACTCAAAAGTTACTCAAAGATAATATAATATTAAACTAGAATAGCTATTGCCAAAAATAAGAAGATTAGAGAATCTTGAAGCAAGACTAAGGACTAGAAAGGCATAGATAAGACTGAAGAAGACTTCACTCTTGCCTCTATATATATTCTTAACTAGGATCTATGTAGTGATATCTTATAGGACCTCCAAAATGAGTTGACTTTGCAAGCTACATATCTTAACTTGCAAAACAAGTTTTCTATATGTGTGCCATGTAGTTAGCTCGTTCTATAAGCTATCAACATGCGGTTAATTTGTTGACCAAGTTTCTAACCTACTAATCAACTATAAACATATATAAAGTCAAAGCAACATCTATAAAGCTTCTAGGAAGCTTTTCTAAAAGGTATTATGAAATTTTATCTATTTTTATCTACTTCTATCTAATCATTTAGATATTTACTAGAATACTTATGTATATCTATAACATTACCTCCCTTCTAGGAACGAATTCCACAAAGAGTGGTCTTTCTATGTTGAAAAAATCTAAGATGTAACAAATTGTATTTGCTACATATTCTGATCTTTGTTTTCTTTAAAGATGGTTGATACGTCCTCTCAGCCATTGATATTGTTCCATACAAGGACAAGAAGACCACCCTATTATTTGGTCATTGTAGTGGCCTTTATAACTTCTTTCAAACAAAATATTTGGAATACCGTCAAGAATTGTTCCTACTTCTAATAATATCACCAAATATTGGAAGTCTCTTCCAAGGTTGTGATACTAAACACATTGTATCTCGCCATCTATTCAAGGAAGGACATGTCATTCTTGAAGATCTTCATCTCAATTTTATCATCTTGAAAGTTGGGACAATTGTAATGTCTCATCTCACAAGTCCGCAAATGAAAGCTCTTAAATTAAATCTATTAGTTATTGATTCTGCATCCTTTTAGTGTTACAAATACACAGAAGTTACAAAGAAGGATAGAAGGTATAGTATTATCTTCCTTTGATCTTGTTTCTTTTATAGCAAAGATTTGCTCTTCTTCATCTTGGTTTTGATGAATGTCGTCAATGAAAAGTTTCAACTCTCTTTGTTGCATTTGTAAGATTCTTTGCTGACTCCTATGTGCATTCACTAATATCATATCCATGCCAAAGAACAAGATATTTTAACCTATTTTGGTACCACTTCAAATTTAAGACTTCTTCCACCTCAAATTCTTGATTATTATCCACTTCTATAGAAAGAGGTGGCATTTGTCTACTTCCTGAGATATTCACTATCTTGTATGGCTCAAAAAAAGACATGTAAAATATAGGGTGGATCTTCATGGTTTCTAATAGATATAATTGATAAGCAACAAGATTGACTTATTGACTAATAGAAAAAGGTCCAAGCCTATAATACTTCGACTTGTCACAAGGACAAGTAGTCTTGATGTTGCGACAAAGTAATCATACCTTGTCACCTACATTGAATTCTAATTATTTCTTAGAATAGATATTTTTATTAATTTTTTTTCATTCTTGAGCTGTCTTTTATTGCGCCTTCAATGTTGCATATATCTTTGACAAACAATTTGCCAAATCTTTTATTGTAAGATTATGAATTTTTGAAAAGTCAAAAGTATTGAGTCATAGATGATAATCATAGTTGGCAAAAAAAGATGTTTGTTAAGTGGAAGAATGTATCAAATTATTGTATGCAAACTTTGCCAATGGTAAAAAAGTTATTCAATCATCTTGATGATAATTGATGGTATATCTTAAATACTGCTCTAAAACTTGCTTCAGCCATTCTGTTTGCTTAGCAGTTTGAGGATGAAAAACTAAAGAGAGCTTTATATCCACTTTTAAAATCTTAAAAAAGTTTTTCTAAAATCGTGATATAAACTAAGTCCTTCTATTCAATATAATATCTTTAAGCAATCCGTAATAGCAATAGATGTTGATAAAAAAAAGCTTAGCTATTTTTCACCTATGATAGATTTTATACATGGTAAAAAACATATAATCTTGGTAGAACAATCTACTACCATAAATATAGAATCATACAAATATGAGACCAAAAGATTTGTCATAAAATCCATAGAAATAGAAGACCATAGTTATTCTAGAATAGGTAAAGGCTGAAGAAGTCCATAAGGTCAATGGCAAGGAGTTTTGGATCTTGAACAAATATCACATGATTGTACAAAGTCTTTGACTACCTTCTATATTTGAGGCCATCAAAAATCTCACAATATTAGATTCAAAATCTTATTGTATTCAAAATATCCGGTTATTGAAAAGCCATGACAAGTTTGAAAAATACATAATTAAATCCCACCTTTTGGAATGTATAATCAATCCTTGAAATATAGTAGGTTGTTCTTGAATTCAAACTTGGAAATATCATGAGATTTAAAAGAATTATTCTTGATATCAAAGATAAGATGATTAGAGGACATATTTGATTGAATTTTCTTGACAAATATTGAATCAATAGTTAATGATGATTTTGTTGCTTGAAAGTGAAAACGCTTTGGCTTTAAGAAAATCGCTCTTTATTGATTAAAAGATACATCTCTTTCTTTTAGTGTAAGATAAGAATGTATAAAAAAGGTGTCTAACAAATCTTGTTGTTTTTGGGATCAATAAGTGAACTTGAAATCAAATCTTGATAAGGACATGCTCCAACAAACTTAGCAACAATTTAAAATATATATTGATATGAAATACTTGAGATTCTTGTGATTTGTATATGTTGTGACTAAACTTGAGATACCTTCTAAATAATGACATTATTCTTAAAATGAATCTATGATTACAAGGAGTTTCTTATTATAAATCTCATAATTAATTTCTATTACTAAAAAATTTTTGGAATGAAAAGCTACTAGATGGAGTTTCTCATCTGCTCCCATTTGTGATAATACTACATCCGAGGCAAAGTTTGATGCATTTATTTCTATAAAGAATGCCATAGAAAAGTCAATACAATATAAAATTGGTGAAAAAGTAAATTCCATTTTTTATAACATCAAATAATACTTTGACTTCTTTACTCCACTCAAGTTTGTTTTTACAAGTCAAACATGTAAGTGGAGCTGCAACTTCAGAAAAAATTTCAATGAAGATTTGATAGTAATTGGTGAAGCATAAAAAGCATTGCACATGTTTTATTTTTCTTAAGATCTTCTAATCTATGATAGTGTGGATCTTTTTTAGATCCATCATTAGTCCTTCATTGGAAATGATGTATCCTAAGAAGTCAACTTGAGTAGTATAGAATACACACTTTTCTAACTTGATATATAATCGTACATCTCTAAGTTTTTGTAACACACAATAAACATGAATTTTATGCTCTTTTATATTTTTAAAGTAGATTAAGATATTTTCTAAATAATAGATAATAAAATTATCAAGAAACTCATAAAAAATATCATTAATTAGATGTTGAAAAATATGTGATGTATTTGTGAGTCCAAAAGGCATGACATTATGGTCAAAATATCCATACTTAGTTCAAAATCTAATTTCTTATTCATCTTTTTTTTTAATGAATATTAAATTATATATTCTTCTTAGATCTATTTTTATATAGATTTTTGCTTGATTCAATTGATCAAAAAGTCTTGAAATCAAAGATAGAAGATACCTATTTTAAATGGTGATATTGTTGAGTTCTTGATAATCTACACACATGTGTAGAGATCCAACTATTTTCTTCACAAATAAGATAGGAGCCCTAACTAGAGATTTAAAATGATGTATGAAAATTTTAGCCAAGTTTTCATTGATATACTCCTTAAGTGCAATCAATTCGTTTTGTGATAGATTATAGATTGGTCCAAATGGTGGTTGAGCTCTTTTATGTAGATTAATTGAACAATCATAAGATAAATGCTTTAGAAGAATATCTA